CACTGGACTTGTAACTTCATCAAAGGGACTAGGTAGCTTGATCTCCTTTAATAACATTTCTTGGACAGAGATGATTGATAACATTCACATCTAATTACAAACTTCTTTTTCTTATTAGAGCAAAAAGAGGCTATTTTTTTCCCCCTCTAAGAAAAATATTCAAAAGTAGGAACCATGTATAATTGAGTGGAGACAAAGAAACCCATTAAAATTAGCAGAGCATTAACAGCTTCTGCTTCCTTACCTTGTTATGATATGTATACATGATTTCTTGGAGCGACTGGCCAAACTCCAGGCACAAAACTGACAGCTCATCCATCCCAACTCTTCCTGAGGAAAATGTCCAGCATGCCCATCGTTCTACAAGTCAAATTAGCCATGGTCTTTTGAAAAGTTCACTATTAACCATTTCCCCCTGAAAAATACAAAGTATTCTACATCCCTATATTGTATAAAAAATTATTTTTCTAACACCCTCCAGATCCCTAAAAATTAGACTTTTAAAGAAAGAATCAAACAAGAAAGTAATTTGAAAAACATGAAACCAGCCTGATACCAAATCCTTTCATAATTGGCCCATGTTCATCTGCAGTGGTTGACTAGCACAGAGGCAGCAACCAGCAGGGCCACAGCGTCACAGTTAGGGAGACGGGAGAACGATGTTGGGTGGGGGCCATGATTTAGCCAGTCTCTGAGTGTCTGCTCTGAACTAATTCTTCTCTGAGAACACTTGCTGGATAAACTCTGTATAAATTTATGCTATGGATCAAGGAAATGAACTAGGGATATTGATCTTCCTTCAGCACGGTTCAATTCATGCCATTTCCCTACTTTAAAACCTTCAATAAATATTTGTTGAATAAATGAATGTTGAATAGTCAGTGGTTACCCATGGTCTATAAAGTTTAAAGAATGGCCTTGGAGGCTTTCCATAAACTGAAGCCGAAGTACATCTCATTCATTCATTTGTTCAATAAATGATATGTATTGGGTACCTAGTAAGAAAGGAACCATACTTGGTGCTGGAGGTTCAGATCTGAACAGACATATCAGATACTGGCCCTAACTTCTTGGGGCTACATCTGATCTTCCACTATTTCTTATCACTAGGGCTGCCCATCAGTCCACACTTTCTTAGACACAACCCAAGCTTCTACTACTTCATCAAAACTCTTCATCTTTCCCCTCTAACACCATATGTGCAATTTTTCCTTCAAAAGTTAAACTCGAGTATACCCTCCTCAAGCTCCCTCCTAATCACATTTTCTCTCTTCCCTCTCCCACATGAAGGAAGCTGTCCTCTGAACTGAGAACTTGACCTGCAGCTTTATTTTGACATTACATCCTCTATTACTACTACTTCAATATTTTCTCCACTATCTTTCAGAGGAGGACCTTTTCAAATATGCTTAGAACAACTAGCCTTGTATTAGTTGGCACTTAGTAAATATTTGTCAAATGAATGAATGAAGTCCTCATGATTTAAATTGGAGATACTCCGTTTTCACCTTTAAGAATACATTCCACAAATCCTCTTAAAGGTATGACTTCATAAATTCAAAAGCTGAATAGGTCATTTGTTCAAGATTATTCAATGCCATGAAAATGTAAAATGCCCATCAGAAAATTAAAATGTATTGAACTGCATCTTTCAGTTAATTATTTGAGACAGAATCCTGTCACTATCTCCAGAGAAATAAAATTTGAGGTGGGTTTCTAACCATTGAAACCAGTTCTTTCTAAAATTGAAGATTTGAACAACAAATCTATGTTTTCAAGTCTTCAACTACACTGACACCAATGCCCTAATGCTTACTCCTGTTGCACTGCTGATCAATCCAACCAAATGCCTTCTCCATCCACCTGGGCTGTTGAACAACACTAGAGAATACTCTGCAATCTCTTGAGACTATCAGGCAGTCCTCATGAGTTCCTTCTCTTATTTTCTCAACAGTTGTTTCCAAAGTGCTTCTCCTCAAGCCACCCACCAATCTGCACCCCCTCTAATTTCAGTGATGACAACAGAGGTCTCCTCCCTCATGATAATAAAAATAAGCTATATCAACACCTGCTACATTTATTAAGCACTATGCTTAGGCATTTTAATTTATAGGCATTGTCTCAGCTAATCTTCACAAGGACCTCCAGATACTAAAGTAGGTATTATTATCACCATTCTACAAATTAGGAAACTGAAGCATAGAGAGATAAAATAACTTGCCCAAGATCACAGTCATTGAGTTGCATATCCAGGTTATAAATCCAAGTCCTGACAAGTTATGACAAGCTCTAGAGCCAATTGGTAAGCCCATACTGTCAACTCCCCATTCTCCTCTTCCCTTCGGACATGGTAAAGGCAGGGAGAGCATTCTCAACAGGCTGTCTGGCTCCAGCTCCACTCCAGCTCGTACCAGCCTCAAGAAAATGACCCCACAACCAATGTCAACTAGTTTAGTAGGAGAAGTAACACGAATATATATACCTATGAGGTTTATTGACTACACTGACCTAACTGCCTGTCTTATTCAGTTCAGGCTGCTATGACAGAATACCACAGACTGGGTGGCTTAATACATTTATTCCTTACAGTTTGGGAGGCTAGAATTCCAAGATCAAGGTGCCAGCAAGATCCAGTATGTGGTGAGGGCCTGCTTGCTTCCTAGTTTACAGATGGCCATCTTCTCATTGAATCCTGACAAGGCATAGAGCAGAAAGAGAATGACAGCACTCACATTTCTTCTTTATATGGGCACTAATCCTATTCATGATGGCTCCACCCTCATGACCTAATTACCTCCCAAAGGCTCCATTTCTTAATATTATCACATTAGAGATTAGGGTTTCAACATATGAATTCTGGGGGACACAAACATTCAGTCCATACCATAGCTTTATTTGAAAAAGCAATTGTTATACAATTTCTTTAGTTCCTTCCCTTTTGATTTCACCCAGGTTTCAGCAAAGTGCCATCCTGGGGATGTTCTGACCACCCCTTGGCTATTCTATCTATAGGCTTCCACACCTAAATAGGTATTTTTGTCCTTTTTATTACCATATCATTACCACATTGGGATGGAGTAGTGCCCTAGACTATCACTTCTCAAGTTTTAATGTACATATAAATCACCTGAGGATCTTACTAAATGCAGATTCTCATTCAGTATGTCTGGGATGGAGTGCCTAAGTCTGTATTTCTAAAAAGCTCCAAGTGACACTGATGCTGATTTCCAGACCACACTGAGTAGCAATGACCTAGACAATGGCACGTGAAAAGTTCTTCCTTGATCATGTTGGTGCTGAGATTTTCTTCCTAAATGTGTTAATTACATTCTGCTTCATGACAAAACTATGCAGTGCATCCAGTTGCATATTACACACTACACGTTACATGCTACAGACACATTGTTAAACTTTACCAGATTTTCATTTTAGAGAGGAGAGGGTTGAATTTTTCTGTTCAAGTCTTATTTTCCTCACTTTGGTCTACTTGTTTCTAAAGCTGCAGTAAAACTATTTTTATATTATTTTCTGATATGCCATGGACAAATTTTTCATACCTACATCCCACTACATCACCTTACACTAAGGCATTTTTACTCCTGTCCAAAAAAATCTATCTGTGCCAACTTCCACCACTTTCCAACTCATCAGAAACTCAGATACTTGCTCTCTTTTGCTCATTTTTTCTAGTCCCAAATTCCTCTACAGAAATAGCAATAGAAAACTTTCATGAAATCACACTATTTAAAAAGAGCAAATATAGCAAGATTTTACTTGTTGAATTTAGATAAGTTTGGAGGAAGTTAGACATAGAAACAATAATTTACCCTATTTCTAAGTTTATTCCTAGCACAAAGATATTCCAGGATAACACTTCAGACTAAATCCCCTCCAGAGCCTCTCACTAACATGTTAAAAATCTCCTTCCAAAAAATTTTATTAGGCCATTAAGAAAATCTATTCGTCCAACATGACATACAAGCATGTCTATTTTAGACTGTAAAATAACTATTAATAAAATTTTAAAACTTGTTTTTCTAGCATGAACACTAGAAATGTCACCGACCTGCTCTCTAGTTTATTTACACTGACTTCCTCCTGCCTATGTATCTTCTTGACTGCTTTGGAAACCTAAACCCTCTATCAAGTCACCGTAAATTCTATGGCTTCCTAACCACTTTACAGGGAGAAAAGGGCCTCTGTGCCCTGCCCAACCTCTTTCTCCAGCTATACCACAGACCCACTCTCACAGGTGACATCTGGGGCCCTGAACGACTGCATTCCACGTGGGGCACCAACCACTACACTGCACACCTGGCTCCTACTGTGCCACAAGATGCTCTGAGGACCAAAGAGCAGTCAACATATTGTTTTCTGCTTGCTTCTCCCCAGACTAATGCAGAGCTACACCCAAGGTAGGTGTTTAAGTATTTGTGAAATAGTATTTCTAGTTATTTCCTAAGCAACTGCCTAAAATGAAATTTTTACCTTGCTTTAATTTTATCAGACCTATGTGAGTCCTGCTTAAACAAGTCTCAGTGGTTCCCAAGCTAGACAGATTTTATCCTCCAAAGGATGTGACAATACCTGGAGGCATTTTAGGTTGTCACAGCTGGGGTGAGGGTGCTACAAGCATCTAGTGGACAGAGATCAGTGATGCTGCTCAACATCCTACAGTGCCCATAACAGCACCTCACATTGAAGGTCTGGCCCAAACAAAATGTCAATAATGTCAAGGTTGAAAAACCCTGTGATAACAGATTTTTCTGCTCTTTTTAACATTATGGGATTTAAGAGGCAACAGAAACCAAAACTCCAAACAATTGAATCTATATGGTTGCAAATGTCTTTTTCAGTTTCATATTCAATTAAGTTCTTTGGTTTTTCAACATTAAGTTTCCTTGTTTTGAAAACCCAGAAAGATTATTAAAATGGCACAACCACAACAGTGTAGTGCAATAGCAACAGAGTCAACTAAGATTAAAAACTGGTCTAAAGACTTTAGATATAATAAGTTTTATTCATTTGGTGGTACTTGATGCTCACAGGGCACCATACAACAAATTTTAAAAATACAAAATGAAAAAAATTGAACAGCCAAAGAGATCAATTCCATTAGAGGGCCCACAGAAAAGCCAACAAAAGCCCACAGAAAAACCCACCCACCAACCCTTAAGAACATTAATTTCTTCCTTCTTAAGTTTGGCTTTAAGAAACACCAAAAGAAAAGTGCAAAAGAAAGTCTTTGAAAGATAGTTAAAACTTCACATAGCGTCTTTCACTTAAGTGTATCACAAAATGCTTTCCTTATTCAATAATAAGCCATATAAAATACGAACATCTGTGAGCTTCTATTTGGTCCCAACTTTAAAGGTTGTAGCCTTCGGTATTTACCTCACCTGTCCTCAAATTACGTGCATCAGTAAAGTCACTTAAGGTGACTAGTCTCTTTTGCTCCACATTGTCACTGCAAAACATTGTTATTTCCTATAAACATCAAGGGCCCAAGCAAATTGACATTATGCTAGTACGGGAAGTAAAAATATAAATTTTCTCAAGACTGATTTAAAATCAAATTCTGGCTTTGAAATGTAATTGTTCTTTTTCATGATTCATAATTACTTAAGGTCACTTTACAGTAATTAGTGAACAGAAAGATTTCGAGTTGTATGTGGACTGTTACAAAAACTTCTAAGAATGGGAAAATATTTTTGGAAATTGTTTTAGTACACATTGACCTGTTGTCACAAAGTTAGATCAAAGAATAAAGAGTTACAAATTTTTCCTGGAGAGTCAACTAATGCTCAATATTGGCTCTGTAAAAGTCAGCCAGTTAACTGTTTCTCATGTAAGCCTCCAAAACAGGGAGCCCTTTAGCAGTTCGAGGAACAAACTTTCTAGTCCCTGTAAAATGGTTTTACTTACAGTGGCAGTCATCCTATGCACATGCTGCTGCAATCTCATTTTCCATTAGAGTTCACAGAAGTACTAACAGGGAGACAAAACAAAAAAGCTATGGGTAGCCGAAGGACTAAGTCAGTCTTGGCCTGAAAATTAGGAAATGCTCAAAATATACTTAAAATATTTGCCAAAAAATACTAAGTACTGCCTAATGCTCCATTTATCTAGAATTTAACAGCATTTGTTTACGCTTGCTACCTATACATCAATTTATCTAATTCCAAAATGCAAAAATTAAACAAACTTAGACATTTTAGCTGCTGCAATTGTATATCACAGTACATAAGTAATATATACCTAGATGTAGTTCCATTTCCATTATACTTTGTTTCTTAAGGTCAAGGGGCAGGTCAAAGGCATCTTTGCATCCCCTACACTAAGCACAGTGGTTGGTATACAGTAGGTGCTCAACAGGTATTTACTAAATATAATGTTGAATAGTGGCTTATGACATGGAACAGAGCCCAGATTGTCTTATTCTAGTAGCATTACTTAAGTAGCCTCACTCCAACTAGACGGAAAGCAGTTTTGAAATAGATACCTTCTCCACTTTCTAAACAGACTAGTCAACAGTTGGACATGACCTGAATCACTTCATGTTCATAAAGCATTCTGAGAAATCAAGTGAAAGGCGCTATGAAAGTGCAAAATAATATTCAAGACAGTTCAGCATAGGTGCTATATTTTCTATGGTGATGGAACGGTTGTGCTAGTTTGAGATGAATACCCCCAAAGCGACTTTTCTCATTGTCATTATCAACACAACAATGAAATTTTGACAAAGACGCCATCACTTTATATAGTTTATATTCTGCTACTTTCCATAAACCAGGTGACAGAAAATGAAATTAAGCCACTTATTCTACACATACCAGTACTTTATCAAGTTCCGCATTTTACAAGTCATGTTCAAAAAACACACACAAGTTAGCATTTTGTACACAAATGTTTATTTCTCAATTGAACATTCCCTTTAAACACAAGGAATGAATTCTAAATCTTCATAAAGATGAATTAAAAATGAAATCCCTCCAGTATAGTGTGTGTAGTCACTGTGTTCTTGGTCGCTACTGGCGTTTACTGTTTAACATCAAAAACAAAGACAGGTTATTTAAAAATCATGCTACTGGATTTCTAGCTCTTCCTCTATGACCAGTTCTATGCTGATCTGCAATGTTTAAAAGTTTACATCACCAAATCAAAGCAAGTTTAAGGTGTGAAATAGCTGTGCATTAAACACAAAATAAACAATAAAATTATAAGATATAGTCAAGTTCATAACGAATATAGGTGTTCTTATCATCATTGTAGATTCTTGGGTAATGTGCTATGAGAGCATCCTGTGAACCAATGTAGATGGAGTTGTAAATTTTCCAATACACATCTCTGACTTTCCGGGCTGGGTGAAACAAACCCTAGAATAATTAAAAGATTACATTATTTCAATTTTCAAGAATACAACAAACCATAAATAAAATTCCAAACATTTCCCTTTAAGAAAGGGAAAAAACCTGACAATTGCACAAAACTGCAGTGGGCAAAGACAAAATCTAACCCCTCTCCCCCCACAACTGTATATTTTGCCATATGGCACCATATACTCTATCGAAAATTAGGAACAGTGACTTAATTCAACTAAATTATTTTTTTTTATTGAGTAATCTTTTAAAAATAGTTAACCTACCTGTAAACAATACTGCAACATTCTACATGGTCCAATAGCAACTCTCAAGCCCTCCAGGGCTCCCATAACTGCCTGAATTACATGAGGAGATGTCTCAAACACATTGGGCCATACGTAGTTCAACAAGTGATTCAATGAATCTTCACAACCAAATCCATAAACCCCAAGTGACATGTGTTGCACCACTGCACTAGCCGTCTGTCTGTGTACAAGGTCCCTGCAATAGGGAAAAAAAGCTCTTTAAGATACAGTCTTAGTTTTACAGGAAATGCCAGCCAGTCCATTAGAAACTAAATTATAAATTCAGTGCATGGAAGAGATGCAGAGCCATCCTCATATCTTATGTATCTGACATAGAATGCCTTTAGACGGACTCATTTTACTTGAGAACTTTTGCTTTAATGACTCAGACTTCACTATGGCTCAAAAATAAGCCATATTTTCTATATTAAACCACTGATGGAATATGATCAAGAGCTCTGTGGAGTATACATTTTAGTATGCTACTAAAGATGGGTCACATGACTCCACATATGAGTGACTAACAGTAATATCTCATTTTAAACTATAAATTTAAAACCTTTGAAAGTAATTCAATACTGGTATACAATAAGTAACTAAAATTAAATCCCTGCCCCTTATAAATTTTAAGTTTCATTCAATAACTCAATTTAGGGAGAGCAAGAGAAGGACCGATAATTTTTTTAAACCTACAGAAAAGAGCGCTATCATCTACCATGTTAACTGAATCTATGATAAATAACTGAATTATTCATTTCATAGTTACTCAACTAAGTACGAATATCGGAAAATGGGTTTGTGATGGATAAAAAAATGAGTTCATGCTCTCTGCTCTTAACAGTAATAAAAGTACCTTAAAGTTGTAACAAAAAAAAATACTTGAACTTACTAGTATCCTTATTTCTTTTATGATAATATTTAATCTATTAAGCTTCATAGCAAGGCAGTATTCTTCATTAATAAATTTCCCAACTAAAGTATTGGTCTTTTCATTTAGTAATTTTCATTGGCGTTACTATCTTCAACTAGTTAGTACACACAACTTAATTTTTAACTACTGGTCACATAAATCAATGACTGCACCATAATGTTGAGGCACATCTCACTGAAGAATATGGAATAAATATCATTTACTCCTACTATTCTGAGCCCCAGCTGGCCAGACTTTTACAGAGCATGATTCTTATTCCGTCCCCATGTCTTACATATATACCTTGAGAGAATTTGTTGAGTCCTGTCAAGTCTCCCTTTTGGAAGCTCATTAATGTGTAACTTTAATCTATAAACAGAAATAACTGAATGGGCTCTAACCTGAATAGTTATCTTTCTTTAAAAGATAAAGGCAATAAAACAGTCCTTTCCCTTACTACTTGGACTTTGAACTTGCCCTTACATGTTCTTTACTTTTGTGTTTTAAAAGCTCTATGTCAGTCTAGATGGTTAAAAGTATCAGGAATCTGGATGTCAAATAACTCAAGCAGTAGTGTATCAGTGGTCACCACCATGCAATTAAAATAGTTTGTCTCTGGCAGACTATGTTCAGTAGTTCACACCTAACAGAAATCTTTGCTTCACCTGCTATAACAAACTAAAAAGTAAAAAGGTCTCTGCCACATCAATAAGCTTGTACTCATCATTTTCTCTAATTATTTGAAATTAATTAACGTTTAAAATAAAAGTTGATCGATTACTGGTTTAACATATATCTAGTCTAACACATAAAGAAAATTAAAAAGGAGAGGGGGCACTTGGAAGAGAATAATCTGGGGAATTGTAACATTTATTATTTGAAGATCATAAAAGTCATATTAATAGTTTCATAAATATCCAAGCTAATAGTCCCCCTTCTTAACTGCATCACAACAAATAGGTCACATTATAATTATTTCCATACATTCTAAAATAAAGGAAGAATTATAACTATTTTCTTACATTTAGTTCAATTCACTTACCTATCCATTAACGCATCTTCAAGTAATGGTGTTACAGCATAAATGTAGTCCTTTCCCATTTCACCAATATATTCAAACAAGAAGGAAAGTGATTTTAACACTCCATTTTGAACATTCAGTTCAGGAACTCTGTATTCATTCATTAAGGCAGGTAGTACTGTGAAGGGTGAACATGTTTCGGCAACAATAGCTATTGCTACAGTAGTACAAACTCTGTTCTGCCTTTCCTGAACTTTGAGGTTGTTTAAAAGTGTAGCCAGTACATCATGAGGACTGGAAAAAATAAATAAATAAATGTCATCAACAACTGTTAGATTACAAGTCAAAAGTTTTTTTCAGAGGGAAAAGAAAAAATATAAAGTAATGAAACTTTATGGTAAGTAATCACTGGGAACGTAATAATTTTATGATAAAATACAATACTTTCAAGTCACTGGCATTATTGTTTCTACTTAAGAACTTCATTTAAATTAAAATGTCCATTTTAAAGAAAAAGCTCAAGTGGATTCACTTTCATATGGAATTTTGGTCTTTAGTAAATTTCCTGAAATGTGAGGCACCCTTACAGTAGTACCCAAACCGAGGTCTCCCATGCCACAACACATAAAATCTTTTTTCCATATGAGGCCCCAGGTACAATCCCCGGGATCTCCAGTGTAGGTTTGCACTAAACTTACTTGAAACTAACAGAATTACTATTACTGCTATCAAAAAGGGGGTAGTGGGAAGACTTCATCCAATTAATCTGATGTTAGTTATGTTTTATTGATTGAAAACATCTTCTCTGTTATTAAGCCACACATACATATAGTAGTTTGGTTGTGAAGGCATGAAAGCAAACAGCTATAGATTTAAAAAACAGCTTTAATTCGGTTGTCTGTGGATTTTTAGAAAAATATTTTTAAAACACATATAGCACTAACATAAAGATCTGAATTTTTTAAATTAAGAACTGGCCTTAATATCTCAAGCAGGATCCTAAAAAGGACCACCAAAAATTTGAAATTATTTTGAGAATAGTAGTTTCCCTCTCTGAAAATATCTGGTGTGATTAAATAAAAATTTAAAACCTCCCACTTATTTTTAATTCAACTTAAATTTAAGAAAAACATTACAAAAAATGAAAGTTAGTGGTTAAATGAAATGCATTCTCAACTGTATTCACAGTAAGTTCTGAAATTAGTACAGAAACATTTTCAATGTCACAGTGGGTTTATTACAAAGTAAACAATACGTATAATGGAAATAAATAATACTTACCCAATGGCCTTTGCAATATAACCAAATGTGTTGACTGTAGCTCTACGAATAGCTTTTTTGTGAGCTTTTAAGAGCTCCAAAAGCTCAAAGCAAATCCTCATCCACTCCCTTGCTGATACATATTCAGCTCCCCTAATTTAAAAAAAAGTTAATTTTATATCAGTAAGAAGTTTCAAAAGGTAAACTTGCAAATTTGGTTCTCAAATAATTACCAACTTTAAGCATTAAATAAAAATATTACTCCAGAAAAAATGATTTAGTTTTAAAACTATACTGCCATGCCCCACTACGAGTTAAAATTTCACTGAAAATATTAATACTAGGTAGCCTGACCATATATACTTACATTAGCAACATTAAACAAACTTACAAAGTAAATAAAGTGGTTAAATGTGAAAGCAAATACCACTTGTAAAAATGTTTAATCTGCTTACCTGTCAGCAATACGTCCAACAAGATCGATACAATTCTCTTGTACTTTCTCATGCCTGTTCTTTAAGATAGGGGTGAGTCTAGGCAGCAGATCTTTAATTGGTGGAGTCATCTTATGCATACCTATTTAATAGAAGTCAACACACTATCAATTAACATTTGAACTGCAATCTTTGTTCACTTTTCCTTTTACTTAACAATATAATATATATGACTAGACATAAACATAAACTTAATAGCTGCCTATGGAAAGAAAAAACCCCAGATTCTAACCAGACTCAAAATTGTTTTTAACTCTTTATTAACAACTTCTGATTATGCATAGAAATGAAAGAAATTAGTGAAGTGACTTAAAGAATGATGGATACTCAACAAAAAAAGTTTTATTTGGTTCTGAAATGTATTTGTACACTGACATTTAAATATGGGGACAACTTATGTTCCGGCCGTACACATCAATATAAGCCAGAGGTAGACATGTAAATTAAAGCAAAATTGTCCAGAAAGGGCCCCCTTACCCTTTAACTGCAAAACAAACAGATCTCCAGTCTCCCTGCAATGCAGGGCATACTTGGATGGTATTTACACCTATGAAGAGAGAAAAAAGGAGGCAGCTGGCAGGGGCTCTTGCTCTAACTAGAACTGCTTGCTCTGATTCTCTCTCCATTGCTTTTCCCATGTGTCCCTGACGAACAATATGGTTTACAACTCCTTGAAAACTAGAGCCTCACAAGTAGCCACGTAACTGACTTTTGGCAAGTAATTATCTTCAAGTATAGAGGACAGGGCTGAATTGGGGATTATATGTTAAGTGCAATGGTTCAAAGATCTATATTGCATAAAAATTCCTTACTAACAGAAGAGATACAGTGGCTGGCACAGCCAGCTATTATGACCTGCTAGGTTATTTCTGCCCCTCTAACCCCTGTAAAAGTTACTTTTCAATAATCATGTTCAATTACAATGCAGGATTAAACACAAGACCATTTTTTTTTTTGCTTCATCATAATGGCCTTAAAGAATAAAAGCTTTACTGTCCATATCCCAGAGCATTTATAATATACTTGTATTTTTATTTTGGGTTAGAAAAATGGATAGTTTTTAAGAACTAGATATAAATAAAAACAATAACTTGAGCAATTCACTTTTCTCTCTGGTTATATTCCAGTAACTTGACAGTAAGCAGAAAAACCTGCCATAATCACTTATTAATTCAAGGTTAAACAAACATATATTTTGTCCTAAAACTAAATTAAAACTTCAAAGTTGTCCCACCCCACTGAATATATTTCAGATAAGACACTATTTTTATTTTGAGTTGTGACTATTTCTACCTTTCTTGCAGATCCTAAACTTGCCCTCTTTTCTCTTCTAAAGTAAAATATAAATGCATCTTGGGAGATAAGACTACTGTGACATCCCCCTGCATTAACTAAAATTATGAAGTACTTTAAAAAGTATCAGAAATCATTACTCAACTCCTAAGTATGATTCCATATTTTACTTTAAAAAAAAAAAAGTAAGTTAAAAATCAAAACAAAAAAATTTTTACATGACCAGCAAATTTCATACCTATTACATTTACAATGGCCTTCAGTGCTCCAAGAATGCTGCCCAGTACTTCAGGGTACTCTTCACCCAAATACTCATATAAAACAACACCCAAGTGCCCCATCAATTTTTCCTGCAATAAAAGAAATATGTTAAAATGTTATTATTCACATTAACTATTTGGTGAAGAAATAAAAATCTGACGTAAAAGTTTACCTCTTGACAAGTCTTCATGACAACAGCAGTTCGAGAGATCAAGTCAGCTGCCTGTTGCCTAACTTTAGCTGATTTGTTATTTAAACGCCACAAAACTGTACCACAGATCTGAGGCAAGTAAGGTTTGACTCGTTTGCCAAGAGCATTGACCACGGTGCCAAACCCATTCAACATTACTGAGTCCTAAAAAAAAAAAAAAAAAAGGCCAAGTTAAATAAAAAAACAGAAACAAAAAAACTAAAACAAAAACCTACATTTATTGGGAACTAGAATTCAGTTTGTTCAAATGTACTGATATTCCAAAATGAAATCTAAAATTTTGAGGTGGAAGACTGTTTCTCATAGCCAACCGAATGAGAACATGAGCATTTAAAAAATTATTTCAAATTTAATTACCTTTTAGTGATATTTGCTTGAAAAGTAATATGCTTTTTCACAAATATGAAAGTCAATGGCTACTTGTTATAATCAGTATTATTACCTCTGTAGTCTGTTCTTGGAAAGCATAAAGAATACCATCAATCAGCTGTTCTTCAAGTTTATGATCGATATCTGCTGCTCCCAAGTTGCCCATAATTTTCTCAATTGTTTCCATCACCATTTTTCTGTACTGTTCAGCTTCATCTTTCAGATCATCCACAATCCTGGATATAATTTCTGCAGCACCTACTTTGTTTGCCAACTCCACAGTAGTATCAACTAACTAAAATGAGGAGGAAAAAAACATTGAATTTATTGCTCTTTCAAGGAAATAAACAGACATCATAAAAACCAAATATTCTAAAAATACTATTCTGCTAGTAAGCACGCTGAAAAAAATTAACTATTTTTAATACGTTAAAAGTGATTTAAATGTCCATTTAAGTCAAGGTGATTTAAGGTAAAATTATATTCATGTTTCACCTAGCCAGATCAAGCATTTCATTTACTAGCCAAAAACATCAATTCATAGTTGGGTATGTATAGTATAATGTAAAATCAAAATGGAAGTTAATAAAATCCATCTCCTTTCACAATTAAGCACATACAAACCGTGAGGTTATCGGGACAAAAAATAATATGTAACATTCATTCAAAGTGGCTAAAGAATTAGTTGAAAGAGTTGTTTGAAAATATTTTTTAGAATTAAAGCTTACCTGGCGGTAATTTCTTCTATCCAAAGCCATTCTGTGCTGCCAGAAGTGTTTAAAAAAGGGAGGAAGAATCTCTGTTTTAATGTAGTTTGCTTCTACACCATCTGTTCCACAACACTGCTTTACTACCTAAAAGGTTAAGAAATAGTAATAGTAAATACAGTCTTGGCTTAATATACAGGATTAGGTTTTTCTTTTTAACTGCTTTAAAATTCTCTTTCAACCATGAAACACACCCAACTTAGATGAACAAATCTGGAACAATAATTTGAAACAATTACCTTCAGCACAATTTTCTTCATTTCTTCATCAGGAGACTGAAATTCTCGAATAAGGATTAACATCACTTCTCTAGTATAGTAGTTGGCATATTCTGCATCCATGAGAGGAATAAGATACCCAATAGCCTTTAAGAAGGCAGCCAAACCCTATTTTAAAATAAAAATATATATACTTAAAAAAATTAGATTTAAGTTGCCTTAGCTTCTATGAGTAGGAAAAAAAATCTAATTGGTAGATATTACCTTTCCTCTGTGTTGGCGAATACCCTTCCATAGAGGCTTTAATACAGAATCAAAAGATTCGATACCATAAGGAGTTGCTGCTTCGGCCAAGGCAGCAATGGCCAAAGCACTAATGGTCCGAACTTTCTGCTGCTCATCCACAAGACCTATAAAACCAAACATAAGTTTTAACTAAGCAATACTATTACCTAATTTCTACATCATCGACCAGATTCTAGCAATATAATCTAACTGCAAAATCTGTTCACATTAGACAAACGTAGGCAAAAGCTAATATGAATCAAAGCCTAATAGCATATATCACAAATCCCATCATAAACTATATATTTATGTAGTTAAAGCCCTTATTATCCATATAAATCAGTAGCCCAAATTTCAGGACACTTGTCATATGAAAGATAAAGTTATATAACAACTTACCATGTTCAATGATTTCAACTAAACTTCTCAGATGTGGCAAGATGGCACAGCCCATGAGAATAGCTATCTGCTGTACAATCTTAATACCAGTATGTCTCGCTTGCCAGGACTTCTTGCTTTTGCACACAGCCTTTAAGAAGGGCAATAAAGAAGGAATGCCCAGGGCAGAGGCTACAACAGCAAAAGCTCTAGCTGTTGTGTTACGGACATATTCATCCATGTTATCTATATCAGGCCTCATGGTAGAGATCATAGTAGCCAGACCAGCAGCCTAAAAGGTCAAGAAAAAGGGACCATCATGAGCTGATGACATTAACCCTCAACCATTTTCTTCCATAGTCAAATAATCCCATCAACAGATATAAAACTTTATTCTCTAGAAATATAACGTAAATACCTTTGCCAAATTAGAAATAATCTCTCGGCCTTCCACTCTTGCATAGTAATCTTCATCAATCAACAATGGTTCAATAACTACAAGGATCTGAAAAAGAGAAGGAGCTAAATTTTCACACTAATTACTAATGCCATCCTCATGTAACAAAATTATATTCATATAATTATAGTATGTCATTTAAATAATTTAAAAACACAAGTATACACATATACATACTTGTGTGTGTGATGGATGTTTGTGCAAATAAAAAGGTCTAAGAAGACATGCAAATCTAACATTAATAATTATCTTGCAAGGGGACAAAATTTTCCTTTTTACTGTAAACGTATATTATCTAAAAAAGTTATTGTTTTAGAATTTTTAAATTTCACAAATATATGTAAGTCAGTAAAAAAAAAAAATCCACACATTCCTTTTACATTAAAAAAAAATCAAACCTTGTGCACATATGGTCGAACTAAGTCATCAAGTTTGTATAATATTCTGTCAATAACTTTGACAAGTAAATGACGCTCTTGATCCTCAAGTGTTGGAGACATTAGTAGAGGAAGAATCTGATTAAACAAAGGACCAGCTCCAAATTCACGAGCTTTATCAGTAATCTGACGCAATGCAGCCTACAGGAAATAAGAGGTTGTGTTTCTTTGTAAGTAAGCATTTTGAAAGAACAATTTACTCCACAATTTTCTGTAACTTAACATTTTAGTATAAACTTCAGAGTGGCCTGAGTTCATTCCCATCAAAATTACTCTGAAGTTTGAATTCCTGTTGACAGAAGTTCAATGTTTTCAGTTAATAAAAGGTAATAGAAAAATGGAGCCACAGAGCTTATAATATAAAAACTCTTTAAAGTCTCCTAAAGGACTGCCAAGCTTCAAGCCACAAATGATACTAATACAATTCCTCACAGGATTCCATTGATTACGTTAGTGGTCTTCAGCATGTTTTAAAGGCTTTGAGGACAAAAAGAATCTCATTTCTCAACATCCCTATTAACATAAAATGTTAAAAAGCCAAATCCTTCATACTACACATCTTTCTTCCCTCATACTATATACCCTTGGTAGTGATAAAGAGGTTAACTATAAATTTCTAAACATGAAATTATAATTAACATGATGATTTAATAAACTGGCACTTACCTTTCTCATTGGAGGAGTTCCATTCTTAATTTTTAAAAGCAACTTCATTATTTTTCTCTCTTTTTGCTCTTCTGGACTAAGTGTTGATTCATCAACATCAACCTAATAGGATAAAAAGAAAATAATTTCAAGGTGGGTTAAGACATTATGATTTGTAATTCCTAAATAAAAAGCAATTATTTTATTTCTATCATCACTTACCAAAAGTTTATCAAAGTACTGAATATCATCAGGTTTTAAAAATGGAAGATTTCCAGATGGTTGGTCATTAACACTTTTCATAGTTCTATCTTCAGTTTGCATGTGGAAACCAGTCATACCACCCAAAGGTGTTGGAGTTGCTGTCAGCTTTCGAGCTGGAGTTCGAATAGGAACATAGCCAGCTGGAGGAGGAAGTACCTAATATAGTCAAAAGACAATTAAGATTTTCTTGACTTTATAAACTAAGGAACATCATCATGTATCATATCTGCACTTCAAATATTTTAGTTTATTAGCCAGGAAGCTTTTTGACTAACATAAGAATTACCATCGATCCCATTTTCCTATCTTGTTTAAAATACGTGACAAATATTCGTATTTCTCATCTACTAACTAAAATGTAAGTATATTATGGATGTGGGAAAAATGAGATAGCACAAAGCAGGCTTATACAATTCTGGTCACTTTTAAACATTATATTAACACACTGGTGAGCCAACACATCATATAAATGGAAACAAACTCATAAAACTCCATATAAATAATGCCTAGAATGCTATATTTTAATAAAAATCATGTAAATCTCTGCACTAAAAAGCAAATCTTAGTCTACGGCCATGCCACCTCAATGTGCCCGATCTCATCTGATCTAGGAAGATAAGCAGGGTTGGGCCTGGTTAGTACTAGCATGGGTGATCACCTTGGAATACTAGTTGCTATAGGTGCTTTTAAAAAAAAAAACCAAAACAAAAAAAAAGGTCTTTTTTTTTTCTTTCACCTTTTTAATCCCCCCACTTCACCCCTGACCTATGGATGTTGCCGTTTCCCTTTAAGGACTGAATCTCTAAGGTGGAGCGACTCCTCCACACACTCACAGCATGCACCCGGGGCCTGGTGCCCCTGACGCCCCCAAGGCCTGGCACACCCGGGGTATGGTCCGTGGTTCCACCTGGGGAGCGAACCAGGACCTTCTGTGTGTAAAGCAGATGTGCTAACCACTACACTATGGAGACACTCAAAAAAAGCAAATCTTAATATTTAAGTTGTTCTACAAAAATGAATTAAATGCATAAAAACTACAACTAAAATATTTACCAAAGACCTGTAAAATACACACCATTTGATTAAGCCAAAAAAATTCACTGAAGATTCACTAAGGAAGATTTTTGCTATCAATATTAAGGAATTTGATGACTGCAACTGAGAAGACTCAGGCAGTCAACAGTAGATTATATTGTCTATACCCACAGCTTTATGTGGAGGCTATAAGAAATTATAAAACAGAAATTCATACATATTTGAAACAAATACTTTTACATAAATTTAATGGGAAAAATACATATAAATTGTTAAAAAGCAATAAGCGATGGCAGAAAAGGCTCTGTAAAGGCCATCAGATGACTTAGTTAGCTTCCAGCCCTGGTTATGACACTATGTTCACAGACTGCTTTTAGACCAACAAATGGTCTGAGTCTCAGGTACCTAGAAAATTTTATAATTCAAAATAAACATCAAGTTGCTGTGATAAAGAGAGAATACGCTTTGTGTTAAGTGGCAATCCATGAACTTAAATACACAAAATCTCGTGAGGCACCAAGTTAAATAACCATAACCTAATTTGAACTTAATCTTAGAACTACTGATAAAACTGAAACAGCAAGCTATTCCATACTCCCCAAGGCAGTTCTCAGAGTACATGGTCCTAAAAGTCCTTGAGATTTCTCACGTTCTAATAAAAAGCTTCATGTCATTCATTTCTTTTCATTCTTATTACTTTTTGGAACTGAAAGAACTAGAAGAATGGAATGGCAGTAGTAAATTCGGACAAGGCCAATGGAAACTTGACCAGTAAGTTTTTTGAAAAATATTTAAAAATAGAATTCGCATCCTAAAAACCATCACATTCATGTTCCATGTTATTACCTTATATCCTTCTGGAAACATAGCATCTAATTCTTCATCAGAAAGTGGGCGATTTCTCTCATCAATCTCTCTCTCCCATCGCCAAGCCTGAAGCTGTTCAGGAGTCATGCTCATTATGTGACCTACCAAAGAAGCAAATTTCTGTAACAATCTATAATGTAAAACTTTATCATTACACAGGTCCTTGGTATATAAGAAATTAGGATCAATTCTAATATTGAATTGCTTTTATATTATAAACTCAAACCAAGACTTTTTAAATCCTGTTATACTTGCTAAAAATAGAATAAATAATATGCAGAAAACACAAAGAAAAAAAAAATCAAAATTTATCTGGGAAAAGTGATTTCCAATTAGAGAGTTTCTACCTGGAGTAGGTGTAGCCATGTTCATAGCTGGTGTGCCAATTGGTGTTTTTCCAGGGGTCAGAACAGGAGTGCTTCCACCCATCTGACTAGCTGGCGTTTCATCCCAACGTGACTTTCTTTTACTGGCTCCAGGAGTAGGTGTTTCACCAATTGAATCTCCACCTCGATCTGTTCGAGGAGTCTCAGCCCATCCACTTCCATGCCCAGGAGTATCTTTAAAGAAAAAAGTGAATAAATCTAAAACTTTAACCACTGTAAAAAAAATTACTTTTTTATCCTCAAACAGCTAACATATTCAAACTGATCAGGTTCAAAATCAAGATATTCCTAAAACAGAGACCCGTTTTAAGTTTTAATGTTTCATATTTATCCTCCCCTTCACTATTTTTGTTTCTTTTCAACTGATTACAGAAACAATACATGCCACTGAGGAATAGGAAAACAAAGCATTTTTTTAACCACCCATAATACCACAACGCAGAGACAGCCACTTTATATATCTTGAGCCACTTTTCCTTTCCCTATAAAGATTACTGTACATGTACAATTCTATACTGCTTCTTTCAACGATGACATTTACTGTCCCTTATTAAAATTCTTTATAAAATTTTAATAGATGTACTACTAAATCTTAACTTTCCACAGCTAATTTTATAAACATTCAATGAAATATAGCTTTAGATGCTTTACACAAAAAAAGAGACTTGGTCAAATTTATACAAAGTAGAACACATATTCTACTAGGGGCTGGAGGAGGAAGAAATGAGGAGTTATTTATTATTTAATGGGTACAGAGTTTCTGTTTGGGATGATGAAAACGTTCTAGAGATCAATAGTAGTGATGGTTGCACAACACTGTGAATGTAATTAATGCCAATGAAAAAATGGTTAAAATGGTAAATTCCATGTTATGTATATTTTATTATAAAATAAGAGATTATACTATGAAGTTTACTTTTTTCCTAATGTTTTCCCTAAAATAAATCTTAAACCTCTACGAGGGAAAAACATTAAGAATATGATCTGCTCAGTTCTTATCTGTACCTAAAGCAGTTGATAATTGCCTGTTTAACCAAGACCAGAGAGAACAGATTTCAATTTATAAATATACCACTCATTAAGTCAAAAAAAAATTTCAAAATTTCACCCCCACACACACCCAAACTCCATTAGAAGTACCTCTTTCTGTTTTGGGGGTCTCATCCCATCTGTTTTTACGAGCACTAGAAGTTGCGCCTCCATGGCCTGGTGTGGCGTGGCCTGGTGTATCACCCCGTCCAGGAGTAGCAGCTCCCGCTGGTGTGTGGCTAGGTGTAGGATCCCATATTTTGGAACCTGGGGTTGCTCCAGGAGTCTCACTTCCCTTTGCACGACCTGGTGTCTCATCCCATCTTAAGGAAGGGGTATGTCCAGGGGTCTTAACAGAGCAAAAATGTTTATTTCACACACCTACATATCCCACATAAAAATAACTAGAAAATTTTCTGTTAAAAACTTTTAAATAAGTATTTTAGTTCTATTCTCTATAATCAAGTTAGAGTAGATTATTCTTGTTTAAAAGATTACCTACTTTCTAGCAAATATGTCTAAAAACAATTTACTGTTAAAATGTGGAACGGTAAAAAAAACAGTGTATTTTGAGTATGAATCTTGCTTAATAGTTCCATGGCTCTGGGAAAGTCACTAAGGTTTCTCTATCTAGACCTGTAATCAAAGAACTGCAGCTTTAGTCATATCAGTGCTTTTCAAACCAGAGCTTGAAGACATACCCATTGAGATCTCAATAGAAAATACTATTTTTGTGTTTTCATTCAATTCTGTGTATGTATTTAATATAAGCACGTTTTGGATCACCTGGGTAATTATAACAAGATACTGCCACGATTTCAATCCTTGAGTTGAATTTACATTTACAATCACATTTGTAATTACTCTAACCAATGCTGCAAGACTAGTGAAAAAATATTAGAAGTGGATTTACATAATCAAAGGTTCCATGGCATTTCAAATAGAGACCAGTAGTAGGTAATGTAGGGCATTAGCACATGACAGCAAAAAACCCTGCACAGTAAAGACAATACCATTATCAAAACAGTAACTGATTTAATGTAAGCAAAACAAATCTGTATTTTAAAAATGACTCATAAGTATTCCATAGGTTTTGTAGTATACTTTTTTTTTTAAAGTGGTTTACTCTATCCAACACAAGAGTTCTATCTACCTTTATGTTTGCAAACCTGCATAAATACCCTAACAAATTTAAGACTCAGTATTTTTTCCTTTAAAAAAATTCTAAATATTACTCAGGGTTTAGAAAATCTCAATTAGGTCAGTAAAAGCACATTCAATTGTTCAAAATCTCAATTTTTGTTGGTACCTTGATCTTGGACTTTGAGTCTCCAGAACTATGAGAAAATAAATGTCTGTGTTTAAGCCCCCAATCTGTGGTATCTTATGTCAATAAGAGCGGACTAGTACCTATCATATGAGAAAAAAAATTTTTTAAATACTAATAAAAAAAATAAAATGAAATCACCTCAGCCTGATCCCAACTTGATAGCTTCTTGGGAGTGGCACCAGGAGTTTGATCGGCTGTTTGATCCCAACGCCGTTTTCGTTTTGAGGGAGGCTGGGACGCTGCTGCTCCATTGACGACTTTTAGTTCTCCAGCTTTAGCTTTTTCTGCTAGTTGTTGTCTAATTTCTCTCTGAAATGTGAATAAGCAGTGAGTATCTTTAAGATGTTTTCAATATATTTTAATATCATTAGTACAATCATTTCTATTTAATGCCATTTTATTCTTCTCATTCTCCTTTCTATGCTACTGTAGTCCCGATCCCTTATATTTCCTCTTTTCTATTTTCAGTTTCATACAATGTCTTCCTGCACGACAGATGAGCAAGTACAGAATCTGTAACACAAAGCATCCTACTTTATTCAGTTAGTGAAGTAAAATCATCAGTCAATGGTAGAGAACCAAAATGCTTTCACTGAAAAAGTTTTATTTAAAACTCATATAAACAGCAATTCAGACAACGTAACAAAATTTGAAAAGTGGTAAAAAATTAAAAATTTTAAATTGTTATAACTATGCAAATGTTATAAATAATGTCCAAACAAATGCATATTTAATTTACCCCGTGATTTTCAAGTGGGATTCTATCACCCCATTTAATCCATACAACAATATTATGACTATTACATTCATAATAGTTATGGAGGCTATTAAAACAAAATGATCTCTGCAGGCCAGTAGGAATTCTTCAGAACTCTCCATCCATATCTAAACTGAATCTTATGGGAGAATTAGAAGATTTTTCAAGAAATGATTTAACTATTTGGCATTTCTTCACACACTGGTTTCAGACACACTACTATCAATCCTTCTCACAGATATATTCACTAGAAATACATATGTATGCATATTGGTTAAGGGGCTAGGGCCTAGAAAAGGATATATGAAAAGTTTAATTTGGGAGGTGGTAGAATCTTGAGTTAAGGTTCTTTCTCAACTTAACTGTTATTAATACTATTAAAATATTACCTGAACAGCAAATAAAAAGGAAATATAAAAGTCTCTCAATCGCAACCTTTACATTCTTTCACAACCAATAAAATAAAAAGCAGGTTCATACCTCTTCTTTAGTCAAATGCTGTTCTCGCATTACATCCATGTAAGTCCTAGCATTCATTTTAGGATCAGGGGTCTTCCCTCCTGCAGAAAAGAACAGCAACAGGACAAGAGTACAATAAATAAAAGATAATTAGGTTCAAATGATTTATCTGCCCTGCTCTATTATTATGTTATTCCATAATCATTTAATTTATTTTTGATGGAAAACTTTAATAATTATACATCTTACTTTTTATTGAGTTTGCTGATCAATTTAACCTGTTTGAACACAAACATATCTACAGCAGTTTAAAACAAATATTTTAATGCATTTAAAAACAAAATGACAGCACAGTTTAGTCTTCAGAAGTGATGGGTTCCTGGGTTGCTAATCCGGAATACGTACACTTTCTTGCCTTTGTCTCCATCAGCAGTTCTGACTTCAAGCAGCAGAATAGAAGCCTAGAAAATTATCTCTTTACCATTAGTAACACTTTGGAAAGATATTTATATGCAAAACATTACCTGTTCCAAGCTGTTAAAATCCTTACTACAAATAACTATGACTAGATAAGTTCTTCATACATAAGTTCTTTCAATGTTCTAAAAGTTATAGTTTAGAAAATATGATTTTTAAAAAATATACCTATATCTTATTCTGATGTCATGTTACCAAAAAGGGCTTCATGCTTTTTAAGTTTTGTTGACCCAGAAACATATTTTTAATATTTTCTTAGAAAGTATAAATTATAACTCCAAACATACTACTTGAATATATTACTTCTATCAGTTATTATGATGCACACAGAAGAAAAGTGGTTACAAAGAGATGTGTTAGTCTCTTGGTTAAAGTTTCGATATTTGTTTTTCAAACTTCAAAATATCTTAAAGAAGCCCAAACAGTATATAACAAGATTCACAGAGGCACACTACATTTTAGAAATGTGATAATTAGCTATACAGTAGTATAGCATCACAATTTAGGAAAATATAATAAAATTCTAAGACATTTCCTATGCTGAAGATCATGCCCAATTGGTAGTGCCATTCTGACACTAGCTCTGATAAGACTTCCTTTGGAATACTTTTTCACCATAATCTAGAGAGGATGTGTTGAACTGCACCCTTAAGAATGCAGACAGGACTGGCATATAGCAGTACTGCTGTAGGAAAGAAATTAAGGACAGTTAGTATGGGCCTGTGAATTCTGACATACATGTTTAAATCAATTACAATTATGCAAGTAAAAAAAGAATATCCCTACTAATTCATGCAGGCTGAAAGTCTAATTTATAAACCTGCAGCAGAATCTCATTTTAAGAAACAGGCACCTAATTTTGATTTTGAAACTCACTCACCTGAGGAAAGCTTCCATCAGGCTCACTATGCCCCTTGTGCTGACCTGCACACTAAAATTAGCAAAACAGACTCCAACTATTAAAAATATCAAAGTTCTTGTACACATACTTTTGTTTTAACTTTAAGTATGCTTAAAGCAAAGTAGGTGCATTTACTAAACTATATTTAGAGCAATATAGGGGGAGCTCCAACGTGAGAAACAATTTCTCAGAAATAACAATCCTAAAATCTAGGATTTGGAATGAAAACTTTCAATAATTTGATAGTATTTTGAGCAGAAACACACATTTGTTCAAAGTATAGAAAGCATACCCAAAACAAAAGTAAAAGAAAAACCTTTAACCCTTTGCGTTTCTATGGCATTGGCTCATTATTTTCTTGTCCTTCTACCTGGAAAGAAAACTTGCATTATAAAGATGAAGAATATGGCATCTGTGACTTCAACCAAATCTATACACATCTATAATAAGGGGGACTTTAAAAAGAAAACCAAATTCATAAGCATGCCAAAAAAAATCAAAGGGCTAAAGACAACTTAATACAAATAAATTTGTGAATACTTATAGAAAAGTGGGAATTACCATCTGCAAAAGGATCAAGACGTTCTGGGGAAATTATCATGGTCCGCCTGTGCTTTTTGTATTCATCTTCCCGGTCTGCAATCTTCGGAGGTCGGTGCTCAGCAAATGGATCATACTGAAAAGAGGGTATTTCTCACTTAATACTCACTTTATTAAATAACCAAACAAAATACCACAGACAAAATCCGAACATTATAAAACAGGTAAAAATGTTTAATAAATGCCTAATAAAAGAAATATTCTATATCACTTTTTAGGGATGTTAAGATGGAAAAAAATAAGGAATATAGAAATGAGACAATACATATGCCTGCATTTCCATAATTCAAGTCTTCATAAAATGATTACCTTTGTAAAATTAACTAAGTAACATTTCTAATTCTCCCAAATCAACTCTCCTCAAAACAATCTAGTAACCTGATTCCCTATATGTGGGCTTCCCAGGAATTGAGACATTTAATTTTCTTTGCCTGAATAAACTCTAGTTTTAACAAAAAAGAAGAAAAAAGTCACCTGTTCTGTTGACTGCGGTATATCATTAAGCAATGCCACAGGGGCATGATATCCCGGCTTCTTCTGACCAAGCAAACTTGTAGATGATGAGTAGTCATCGTCATCCTGCAATAAAATGCCCCCAAAGAGCCAGAACTTAAAATGTCAGAACTTAAAAATTATGCAGAGATTCAACATGAAATCAAAAGACTTGCTGACAGTGTGATATCTACACCCTGGTTCATAAAACTTGTTAACACTTAGGTATTTTCAACTCAAAAAAGCTATGAAAGAAATTAAGCTTAGTTCTCTTTACTCTTCTGAAAATACTGAACAAGAAATGTACTCTGTGGAAATCAATCAAAGTACGTATGAACTAGAAAAACCTGAGCATATCATTCTCTCACAGAAGGCGTGATGAAATTTGTTTTTTCACATTCAGAAAACTACAGCTTATTAAAAACTCTTCAGTTTCCTTATTTATTTCATTTAAAAAACATAACAACCACAGAAACAAGTAAAATAATTTTAAGTGTATTTGCTTTCCTTGTTTAAACAAAATATTACACTGTTACTTTTCTAGTATAAAAAGTGTAACAGTGAATAACTCTCAGTAAGATCTTAACATCTCATTTATTTTACTTAAAAATGAAAGGACAATTTCCCCCTCAGCTTCTGGAACATATAGCCATCACTGTCTCTTACCAGTAATATGAATGACTTCTAGAAATTTTATCTTTTGGGACTTTTTAATTTTTTTTTTTTTAAAAAAGCAACAACTATAAAATAAAATGTGGCTTGAATTCCATAAAAATAACAAGTTTGATAATCTATATATTTATAAAATGTCTGTTACTGAAACATACAAAAATGGAGTTACTTTACCAAATGTGGATGTTTGGGATGATGTGACAAATATAAGCTATGTGGAATAGATAAAAACACTTTGAGAGATGTACTTCAAAATGAGAGGTGGTCATTCTCCGAAGTAAATGAAACAGGCATGAGAAGCCCATTAATATTAAGATGCTAAGGGGGAAAAAAAGCACCAAGCACAAGACAGAAATCAAGTCACAAGGACAAATGGTTGTCTACTATGAATTCACTTCTCTAATGGGCTATTCTAGATAAAGCTCAATGTGTAACAATAGGGATTTACTTTACAATGGTTAATGATTTGCAAGTGCTTTGCTGGATAAACTAGTTTTAACATAAGGATTCAGAACTAATCACTTCCAAGAGTTTCTGAACCTAAGACAGGGAGGACACTTTCAATAGTTTTAGCCTGCAAAAGAAAGATCTCCCAAACACCAAAATGTCTCTCCAGGTTAAACCAGATGATGACTCAAAAAGAAAATCTCTTTTCATTTCTTGTTCTCTAACAAAAAAGGATTGACTCTTATATACTTTGTAACTTACATCTTCAAGTTCAGTTGCAGCAATTGATGTGACATATCCAGCAAATCTGCTATCACTTCCACCATAAATTTCCTGGTCATAATAACCTGTAGAATCAAGGCCCACTCCTTGAGCTTCATCAAGAGCTGCCTTCTTGCCTTGAATTTCTCGAATCTGTGCTTCAATATCTGTGAGAAAGTTAACAAAGACTTTCTTAATTTCATTTTCCAGCAAGTACTGAACACAATGCATTTTCCTACTAGGTATTCTCAAAATGCTCTTCTACGTAGTCAAACTTTAAAATAATTATACCATTTACGGGGCTAGAATCGAGTCAGGTACTGATTAGGGACCAAGAACAAAACACTCAAGATTATTTAAACTCAATACTACCAGAAATGTAAAAACAATAGTACTA